GATATGAATAATATTATATATGTATGGTTCAATTGCCTTGTGCGCTGCCAACTACTCATGTAAATAGTTTAAATACCACTATAATATAAAGTCGTTTTCATATAGTTATAAAAAAACATATATAAACATTTACAATATAATACAAGGCGATCTCATTCAAAACGTTTTAAATTTTGCACCTGCACAACCACAATCCCTTTCATTTGTTTAACAAATTGAACCATGAAAGATTGTGCTAAATGGCTTTTTGTTAATAATTAACAAAACAAAACAATTATTGTTTTGCAAGGGATTGTGATGCTTTAGAGGGAATGCGTACAGATCATTCTTACACCAACTACAACAGTGACTGTCTTGGAATCTAAAAGAGGCATCTTCTGTTACTAGGAGAAGTGAATGGGGATTTGAATAGCCAAGCAGACCAGGGGTTGTTATCAACAAAACGTAAAATATTATAAAAACCAATATCAAATCAAACATTAGCTGCTAGTTGCGTGAGACTGCCGCTATTCATCAGGTGGTGATGAAATCCACCTTTCTTAGCATCATGGGAAATGTTCAGGTCCTTTTCAAATTGCACTAGCTGTCCCATGAAGTTAAGATTTGGTGAAATGGTTGGCCTTTTCTCTTTAACAAACCTACAGTTGTAAATAAGAAGAACAATTAAAAGAATCACTATTTGATGTGTGATTTGGATATGACATAAGATTGTCTTTCCTGCCAGGACATTCATGATGTGCTGTAAGGAATACACAGTTATTATCATGATATCTGCCTATTTTTGATATACAAACCTGTAGGCCTCATCCAAGGACAATCCTAAGTGTCTCATAACATAAGCAATGGCTATTGTTGCAGATCTTGACTTGCCAGCAAAACAGTGCACCAAAACTCGGCTATTGGCTTCACGCGCTTTATCTTCAATAAAAAAAACAATTAAGCAAAGTTAATAAATCTTTGATAACAAGGATGCAGTTTGAATTAGGGRTGGCGAATGGTCTTTCAAAAAATCCACGTCTCGTAAAATTTTAGTCAAATTTCAATTTTCAAATTTTTTATAACACAGGAAATTAATCTGAGGATATTTTATTCTGAAAATAAAACCATTTCATTGTCATAGAGAGTGAACAACACTAACATTAAACATGTGCTTACCTATAAACTCAAATGCACTTGGTAACCAATCAATAATATTCTCCTGGACAGAGTCCCGTACTGGTATTCTCATGTAGTGTGAAGTGTTTTCTAGGTTTTTAGGAGCTGGACAAGCACAACTAACATTTAACACAAAATCAATGCCATTGGAATCTCTGAAATTTGAATCCAATGAATGTTCTTGTGCCCCAAGGTAAAGAAATGAAAGAATATGTGAAGGTGCTTCAAACTCTGAAGAAAGACAAGGCTGAGACAGAACTGTTCTTGGGCTGCAGTGAAGAGATGCACTAGAATGCGATTCACAAAGATCTGGAAAGTTTTTGGAGAAGTACGAGAAGCCACCTACAATGGAAAGGAAACACTATCAGTGTTGCAAAACATGACAAATATGTTTTGGTTACAAAGTAACAACTTTTTGAGGATGAAACTTAATGCTCCAAACAGTTTACAACTTACCTTTAAGAAAACAAACATHTTTAAATCCTTTAACCAATTTGTTCAATACCACATACATGAAGTTATCTTTTGATAATGCATCAGTGTCAAAGGTTTCTTGATCATAAACAATAATTTTATCACTTTCTAATGAATCCTCCATTGTTCCTTTTATCAGTTCATGAATCGTGACTTTGTTGGAAATTAGTCTACGTTTAACCAGCTTTGAGCAACCAATATTAATAGATTGAATAACATGTCCATCATTGTACTCTAAGAATGATCTACTKTCTATGATAAGAAGCTTTTGCAAACGTCCAATAATACATTCAGCTAGCTGATGTGGATGTATGGATTGCATTTCTTCACTTTTTGAAGGCCCTAAATACAAATAATATAGATTATATATAAGTATTACACTTTATATTACTTTTAAGGAACAAAACAACAGCCTTCAATTTTGAAATGTTTCGGCGATCAATCGCCTTCCTCAGATTACTTTAACGGTACTTATATTACCAATTGACTTAATGCATTATATTTCATGTGAATATTTTCTTTTAGATTAGTGATAGTTCACAGGTGACAATGTGGACAGATTTAGTAGAGTAGAAAGTGCAACAGGAATTGAATGTGATAAAAGAATGATTTTTGTTATCATGTTAATTAGTGACTGTTCACTGGAAGTTATTAAGTTTAATGTGCCACTAATGTGAAGCCCATAGATAAAATGCTTTCCTCAAGGAGTGCAAACAATAAAACCATGAAAAACTTTAGAAAGGAGATAAGGCTAAATATTGTACTGAATTATGAGAATTTCTTTGTTTTCTAATGTCTAATGTCGATATATTGGTTAATACTTTTAGAGCTTGCACTCTAATAAACCAAATAGAGCAAACACGATGGCAAACACATTGGAATATAAGAATAGAAAACACTTCACACATATAAACTGAAAACGTAGCACACAGAAGTTGGTTGTACAAAGGATAAAGACTAATTTATTTCTTATCCAACAATTACCATCCTTTGTACAACTAGCCTTACATGAAAAATTGAAAAATRAAAAAAATTAAAAACACATGAGGAATATATCATCAACAATATACAAATTATATAGCTATAAGGTATAAGTTATATGTTATACTAACAAGAAAGAGAAATGAGGCATGAATCTTTTGATGACTCTCATTTTCTGCAAAGTCTTGAAAATGGGAGAGTTTCCACCTTGAAGCACATGTTTTCATTATGCTACATACATGTTAAAAAGTCGGTATTTGACGACTTTATGTTCTTTAAAAAAAGCATTTCGTGTTAATGCTAAGGAAAACATACTACTGTATTTCCGAGAAGCTCATGCAATTCAGAAATGAATGTCAAGACTCTAAAATATCTTAGTGACTGCAGTGAATGTGTTGTGAAAGTGTGCGCTGCTGCTACTCAAGCAGAACGTAATAACACAACACTGAGCATGAATTTCTTACCTGAGAGCGAGTGAAGAACAACCCAAAACGAATATTGTAAGATATCTAACAACCTAAAACCACTATCCTATGTAAATCGACAGCGAAATCCACAACAAAACGAACGTCAATGTTATGTAAAAAGCCGCACGGAAATGAAAAGTTGAGGAATAACCGTCCAAAGCTCTATCCAATGTGACTGGTGGACAGAACCTAACTTATGAACGTGTATATACATAAAGTGCTTGGTCCACTACAGTGAATTACGACTACAGTAACAAAGACAGAAAAGAAAGAACAGAATTTTGATGRACCAACAAACGAACTTTCTTTTAGTTGGTCCTATTTTTAGCTTGGAAAAGCGCTACGTCACTGTTAGCCAATCACCGCCAAGAATAGACTTGTGATTTAGTTTTAGGGAGGGGTAAGATACTATAAAACAATTTAGTATTTTCTCATGAAAAATGTCCCACCACTGCCAAAAAAGACAGTTTTTTGTCACATAACTTCATCAATAAGAAATATGTGTAAAAATATTAAAGGTTTCATGAATAATAATGCGATTTTTTTCAAGAGAAGACGTTTCCATCTTTCCCCCTCCCTGTTATGATTTTAGAATGTTACGCAAGTCATTATCGCGTGGTCGCTTGGAATTCAAAATGGCGGCAATAATTACCAAGCATGTGCATAAAATTTCAAATTTCACAAGATTTAGACCTTGCTACAAAACATTGTTTAGGCGATCGTCTTCTTGTATAGATCGTAAGTACTTGAAATTAATATTTTCTTCGTAATATTATAGTTGGGCGTTTAATTGTGTGCCATATTAAGATTTATACAAAAGTCGACCGCGATCAAGTCTTGATATTGAAAAACAAAACCAGTTTTTTTTATTTTTTTATAGATCTTTTGTATCTGTGATATATCTTTACGATAATTGGACTATTTATTACAAAAAATGCTCCTTCCATTAGTAATCAGATCTAGTGAGTAATGATTGACATGTATTACACAGGAAGTGACTATTTCAAGCTTATGACATCACATTGATCTAGAATCATAAAATGCAACATCAACATGTTACTAATACACAACAACCGTGTAAGCCTACATATATATAAGAAGCAACAAAAATAAGTTCCATATGTGTAATTAAGTAAAATAATTCTAGCCCCCCTTCTTGCCCCTCTCTAGATCCGCCCTCGATATAGCTACAATTTGGTGTTTTGCCATGCATCATTCTGCTTATATTTATACGCTGATTTGTGAAAAAATGACAGTCATGTCTTTTAGATATATATTTATATATGTAAAAATGCCCTAAATTGCTTATAAATTATGGGATACTTTCATATTGTATGCCAAAACACAAAAATTCTGCTGATATGTTAATATGTTGACATACATATATAATACATATATAATACAAAGGATTCAGCATCAAACAAAGGGAGATGCTGTGCATGGAGTAGCTATCTTTTGTACTGTCCAGCAACCACAAACTTAATAGTCACCAATTACAATCAAATATTGCACTAACATTCRTAACATTTTAATATAATTTATATACATAGCATCTATTGGTTTGCGAGAAGAACAACATGAGTTTCAGAAAGTTGCATTGTCATTTGCTAGCAATGAAATGGCACCATATATGAAGGACTGGGATTTACAGGTAATAATATTTGCTACAGGGAGTAAAATAATTTTTTTTACGAAAAATCAATAATTAATTTMTTTCTTTCCTTCTCTCTTTCTTCCTTTCTTAATTGTTAGATTGTTAAACTAGATTGTTATCATTTTTATGTGAATATATTTTATCTTTTGTTTATTATTTTGAACTACTGTATATTCCTGTTTTTTTAGGAATATTTTCCAAAGGATGTTTTAAAGAAAGCGGCTGCATTGGGGTTTGCAGGTGCGTCAATATAAAAAATCAAGTATGCCTAGATTTATCTGTTTGTCATAGATTATGAAATGTGATTAAATTATAGTAATATTGTTGATCTGTCTATTTTCCTAGCAATATACTGTAGTGAAGAGTTTGGAGGTAGCCATTTGTCAAGGTTGGATGCATCAGTTATTTTTGAGGCTCTTTCTACTGGATGTGTCAGCACGTCAGCTTACCTTAGTATACACAAGTGAGTCAACAAAATTTAAGATATATTACAATATTAAATGTTGATTAGGATCAATGATTACCATATTTACTCATGTATAAGCCACTCTTGTAGATGAGCCTCATCCCAAGTTTTGGGAACGTTTTTGAGGGGGGGGGGAAGACGGAAATAAACTCAAACCACGTTTTGAATCTATAGACAACATAACTTCTTTATTTACCAATCCTTTTAACATATACTTAGTATGGTAGCTTGGATGATTGACAAATTTGGTTCCAAAGAACAAAGAAGGAAGTACATTCCAGATCTTTCAAGTATGGAGGTATATACATTGTAGATATCGATCAATTAAAGATGGTTACTCAACTCACTGGTTCTGATGGATGTTATTTCAGGTGGTTGGTTGTATTTTAGCAATTAATATTAAATTATCTACATGATTGGTTGGCTGGTTGTCTTTTATAGTATTTTGACTAGTTTGATGCCAGTTGGTCATTTGGTTACAATTTTATTACTGTCAGTTACCTAAAAATTCATTCAGTTATACTATAAGCTAGTGTTAAAATGCTGATTTGATTTATAGAAATTTGCATCCTACTGCTTAACAGAACCAGGTAATCCATGAATTGATTGTATATCTGGAAATCTTTGGTTTTCAAATCATGATTGCATGGAAGCACAGTATTTATCATATCTTAATGTATCCATAACCACAGGTAGTGGTAGTGATGCCGCATCATTATCAACAAAAGCTAAACGTGATGGAGACTTTTAYGTGTTAAATGGTTCTAAGGTATTGTTTAATACAAGCAAATCATCTGGATTGTTTTCATTAACAATAATATTACTTCAGTTAATAGTTTGTTATTTATTTGAAAATRATAAGGCATTTATAAGTGGAGGTGGCGAGAGTGACATCTATCTGTGCATGGTGCGCACTGGTGGAGAAGGTAATGCAATTCTGTGTCTGTATTCTCATGTTCAAATAGCTCAGTAAAAGAACAATAATTTCTTTGTAGGATCAAAAGGTATTTCATGTGTTGTTGTTGAGAAAGGGACAGAGGGTCTCTCCTTTGGCAAAAAAGAACAAAAGGTAATCATTAAGTATCAACATCTCTTTTTTGCCATATTATTTGTATCTCATTGCACTAATATTGTTATTTTCTATCTCTTTCAAGCTTGGATGGAATTCTCAGCCAACTCGTCAAGTTATTTTTGAAGACTGTAGAATTCCTAAGGAAAACCTGATAGGCCAAGAAGGAGATGTATGTACATCATTAATGGGCACACTTGAAAATATAACTGCATGTAGTAAAAGTACAACTTTAGGCAATAAAATACCTTTTTTATTTTTTTTTTTCAAGGGTTTTAAGATAGCGATGAAAGGTCTTAATGGAGGACGAATCAATATAGGTAAATAAATAATGAATGCTTATTGTACACAATTAAACCATAACATGTTTAGCGCATACCAGTCAGGTGTCACATGTGGAAATGTGTGTTTTATTATCCTGTGTGTTTTGTAGCATCTTGTTCACTGGGAGCAGCACAAGCAGCCATTGAACAAACAATACAACATGTTAATGACAGGAAACARTTTAGAAAGCCTCTTTCAAGTTTTCAGGTACAAATTTCCCTAGTATATTGTATGATAAACATAAAAATAACTAATTGGACTTTCATTTTAGAATGTGCAATTCAAAATAGCAGAAWTGGCAACTGATTTAACAGCATCCCGTCTTATGGTGAGGCATGCTGCAGTAAATTTGGATGAACAATCACCTAATGCTGCATCTGTGTGTGCTATGGCCAAGTTGTTTGCTACAGACCATTGTTTCCAGGTATTTTATTCAATTTGAAATGTACCTATAACAGAATGTAGATTGTTATTGGAAAACCTTTCCTTTCTGAAGACACTTTCTGAATTTTACTTTTACTATTTTTTTCAGATTACAAATGACTGCCTTCAATTGTATGGTGGCTATGGCTACCTTAAGGATTATGCTGTCCAGCAATACTTACGAGATACAAGAGTTCATCAGATATTGGAAGGTTAATTGCCAATAAGCTTTTGATTTTTGCATAATACACTATAGTAATCAATGGCTATTTATCTTTCAGGGACAAATGAAATAATGAGAGTACTAGTGTCGCGTGATGTCCTAGGTCATTAACACGAACACTTGGTGACAGAAACAAGCAGATATCACCATAACACATAAAATAGATAACTTTCAACAGTGACCCATTAGTGTCATTAGTCAAGTTATTATAAACCACATGCAGATCAACTGAGAATACTTTACCTTTACTTTGGGCAAGCTCTTCAATTTCTCCTAAAATATTAGAAATAATAGTAAAATGTCTAAAATCAATATAGAATTCTTTTGGGCATGAGCAGCTGAGCTCCAAATCCCACATGCAAGGACCAGTGAATTGGAAAGTGGTGATAGACTGCTCCATTCTCTGCCATATTGAAGATCTGTGAAGGACTGAGTTAAGATATTTAAATGTGAGTCCTCTTCTAGTGTCGAGGCAGTGTTTTCAGTCTGATTAATCTTCAATGGATTAAGTTATTTTATTAATGAGTTTGGTAAAATTATTTATTAAGTTATTCAGAATGGCGGACAAAATTTTACAGATGATATATTTTAACGTATTCTAGTGATTGTACATAACACCTTGTGAAATATAAATAAACTCCTGGTGAGAAAAATCTACTGACTGTTGTTTATACCAATAAAATCATTAAATATTTGCTTGTATAGCAAAGAAATAAAGTAAACAGTTTACACTGTAAATACGCAATTTTGTCCGAATATTGATACAAAATAAACGTATGTTAAATGCCTACGTTGCGATGCCTGAAAAGCTGCAAGTCGGTTCCAGGTATTTACTTTAGCCTCGCTTGGTATCATCAATTATTCAGTCACTGATTTTATGTAATTGTGTTATACTGCCATATCATAACATCGTTAGCGTATACAAGTTAGGTGTCTCATGTGGAGACAAGTGAGATGCTGAAAACTGCAAAATGCGTTCCAATTCATACTACGTTGTTGAACTTCCAGGATTCTAATCCTCACTTACAGTTTCTAGTCATGAAGTGTTGTTGGTGGATTATTTGTACGGCAGTCTCTCTTTCAGGTAATGCCAATTAGCATCTGTGATAATATCAATTCCAATGTTATACTGGATATACTTTAAAGTATACTAGATCTACAAGTTAATTGATGGAGGTATATAGTGGCTGTGTAAATGGTGTCAAAATACACTAATACTGCTCTAATACCGATACCATAATCTATTTCAGTAACGGGGCACGGTCAAGTAAGGTATGTGGATCACTTTAATGTTTTGATGATGCATAAAGATGTAACATTCACTCTCTGTCGTTATCAGATCTATCTACTCGATGGATTATTTCATTGAATTGGTTGAAAAGGTCGAACGTCATCCTAAGGCCAGCAGCCAAAGTCTTGAAACAATTGTAAACTCCGTACGTGCTTTAGCGTATAAGGATGATCTATGGAACACATTACTTGGTAATGCTAACATTATGAAACATCTTTTCAGTATCATATGTTCTGACTAATAAATTCTATGCTTAATTAAAAATCAAGAACTGCTTAAAGCTCTGGAAATGTCTATTTTGAGGCTTTGAAATAAGATTTGTGAAGATTTCATTTGCACCTAAAAGAAAAATCTGAAAATGTATGTTTTTTGCATGTCACAACTGCTCGTCGAAGGGCAAACGTTTTTATTGTCAATCGAGATTGTCGGATACAGACTAATATGACTTCAAAGAGATATTTTAAGTCTTTTGATCAAAACTTTTCGCTGTTTGGGGTCACAGTGCACTTGTTATTGCCATGTGTTATCCTTGCGCAAAATGAAAAGATAAAAGTTTTGTTTTTTCTTTTTTGCTCTCCATTGTTACTGAAATCAGTATGTTAGTTACCCATAATCCTTTTCGATGTAGTTGTGGAGTCAATAGAAAAACTAGATGTCATTCATTTATTAGGACCTGCACAGTCCCTTGCAAAGCAAGCTCTGTCATTAAAGGAACAACAAGACCTTACAGCCATGTTACGTCATCGTTACTTTGGACCAATAGAAGCAGGGGTTGTACGCACCCCTAATAATTACACTGTAGCTATGGGTCACGTGATCGTGGGGATTTGTGCCGGGACTAGACGCAATACAAGAATGTCTCTCGGAGGTTGGGTATCTCAACCTGGGGATCCTGTGGATAATCTCTTTGCTGCTACAATCGCTGGTACCATCGTACGTACTGGACTGGAGAATATGAATGACCCTTCAAAGGTACCTTTTGGACCAGGRGGCTCTTGGAAACCTAATGATTTTTGCCCTGAATACTATCTGAAAAAAGCAGGAGCGTTCTCAAGTGCAAGTGATGCGCAGCTTCTTGGTGACATTGATGGGTTTATTTTAGGGTCCGCAATAAAATTGTGGGTYAGAAAAGGTGTTCGCCTTGGGCAGCTTCTACGAATGTATTACTCGTCAGGGATATCTTATGACACCAGCTACGCCTAGTAAGTAAGAATGCGCATTAACAAGGAATTTATTGGAAAGACTACATATTCAGTCTAATTTTTCAGCTGTAATCGAGCATTAAAGATCAATGAATTGCTGAACAAAAACACACTCTTTGGACAAGTTGTGGTTTTTGGTTTTCCCTTCTTCCATAAAAACAAAGCAAAATATACAAACCTGAAAAACACTGATGTTATTAGATTAGCAAAGAAGCTAGTAAAAAAAGGAGAGTTCTTTTCTTATGTAGGTAAGTGGATATCCTTACTATACTGACATATACAGTGATTTGCTTATTGCCGCACTCCATCTCTCATGGCGTTTGCTGTTCCTCTGTAAGCAGCCGTTGACAATGAATCACTATTTATACAGATTTGCTTTTGGAAAAAATAACTTGCAACCATGAAGGACTTGATCGGCAACATCAGCACTGCGAACTTCCAGCAAACCTGGTATTCATAATGGATGAATCAGGAAGCATAGCAAAACACAATTATGAAATGGAAAAGGCCTTTGTCAAGTAATGATATGAACTAATTGTAAAATAATGTTTTATCTTTATCTGAGTTTGCCATTTCTATCATGATTTTTAAGGGGTGAGGAGAACTGCTTTTGCATGTACCATCATGTATTTTGCTAAACGTTTTCATCTTTACGAGTCATGGCATATAACAAAAACCAAACCCTCTTTGTATTTTTCAGTGAAGTAATCGATTCTTTCCATGTATCCCATTACCAAACTCGAATAGCAGTCGTGGAGTACTCGGATGTTCCAATCCTTTCTATCAAACTTGATGAGTATGGATCTAMGACAAGACTACAGTGTGCTGTGAAAGCGTTCTCTCACAAAGGTATGGGTGATATCGTGTTTGTAATTATTGGTTTCTAACAATCAAAATAATACATGATATCAAAATTTCATTATCGATAGAAACACTGACAGTACCTGATCAGGATATATCTTTTGATTCATACTATGATTAGGAGGTCCAACACATACCGGTAAAGCGATTCAGATGGTCAATAAACGAGTGCTCTTGCCAGAACAAAAAACTGAGCTAAGTCAAGGAAGTACAAAACCACAAATAGTGGTTTTATTGACTGATGGGAAATCAAACGATCCTGATGGCAACTCTCTTAAAAGTGCTGTCACTCATATCARACAAGACATAAAAGGTATGAGTATCGCATAAACTATGCCAAGTATCTCGTTCTTTAATACTGACTTATACTATTACCACTAAAGTACATTTTTCACCAGTGCAGTAAGTCAAAGTTGAGACGGGGAAATAGAAGCAAGACGAAGAAGGCGTCTGTATGTGCGTGAAAATCAGTGAAGGGACACGCAGAAGCTTTGGGTGGAGTAACACAATTGTGACTGACAACCTTCCTTTCTGGCTTTCTGGCATTATTTTATAGCTGGGAAGAAGCCGTTGTGTTGGCTATACACCCTTTATATATTTAAGTAAAATTCCGGGGCCATAAACTACATATAGATATAGATTTTTAATGTTTGTACTGTGTTATATCTTAGACTTGACAATGATAGCAGTTGGAATTGGTAATTATGATATCGACGAGTTGAGGTTCATAGCCAGTGATCGTAGTAAACACGTGTTTGAGGTATCCAACTTTAAAGGACTGATAAAACTTGTGACATCCCTCAAGAATAGCACATGTACAAGTGAGTACGTATAAATAGAGCATTGAAATACCTCACGTATATTAACGAGATTTCTCATTAAAATCGCAGCCCCAGTCATTGTCAACATTGATTTTCATCCAGAGGCTAATGAGACGGTAATATCAGCGTATGTCTCTCCGTCCAAACCCCGCTACTTTGTTGTACCACATGAACGCTTTGAAGGACTCACACAGCTTTATATCAAAGTAAGTGATTGATGTCTTTTTCATTCCAAGGGGCAAGACGCAATCTCATGGTGGAGAAAGGAAGAGTGGCAACATTATAGTATCTTTCCTTATCAACAGATTACACCCATATATGGAACAATAGCTTTGTATGCGTCACGTGACGTGCATACACCAGGACCTCATGACTACACCTATAAAATGGATCCCCTTGGTAAATATGTGACTCTTTATATTTGAATTGGAAGGCCACCACGATCAGCCGAAAACTGCAGAGCATCCTGTCGCAGACGATTGTCGCTCAAAATCACCATAAACTTTTCCCTCGGTTGTCTGCGGTGGAGGCAGTATACAAATTTATATAACATACTGTTTTTTTGTCCCAATACCATGGCAACCTAAGCACGCTAATATGAGAATGTTTCCTTGTTACAGATGTCGGGGAGAACATGCTTTTCTATCTTGCDGACCCATGTGGAGGTACTGTATATATATCGTCTTCTGTACAAGTGTGTATACATCATGACTTATGTTTTCTTTCAAAGGGTCTAATTCTACTAATACGACCTGCCCTGATCTGTATCTTGCCATTTATGGTGACGTCTCGACGCTTTCCTGCTCAGGTAGCACGTTTTACAATTTAAAACGTTTAAAAGGTTAAAAAAAATTGATTGATTGATTTTTTGAGTATTTATTTTCTTTATACCTTTTTTACACCATATTTATTGTTGTTAACATAGAAGTGTCATGTACTCTTCCAAATCAAATCAAATTTACCATTAGGAGAGGTAATTTTGCTTTTATATTCATTGCTATTCTATAGTCGTCAAATAACTGAGTGAAACGAATTTTCTTGTTTTCCAGGCTCAAGTGGTGAAACTTACTCCGCCTCGCGGTCTTGTCATCCCAAATCAACTATTTCCTACATCATTATGCTCTTCTATATTTGGGCATATAATGTCATCGCTATCTAATCTAATCTAGTCTAAAGCACGTATACACCCTTTTAATAAGTCCCGAGGTATTGTTTTCTCCGCACTTGACGTCAAATTTATTCTTGAAATTTTTATAATACAAAAGAAATTCAAAAGAATAAATTTGACGTCAAGTGCGGAGAACGTAATACCTCGGGACTTATTAAAAGGGTGTATAGACTTATCAAATCAAGGGACATGTATACCTTTTTCTTAGTTTAACAATTTAGATTTACAAAACCATTGTCACGGTTACGAGCTTGATTGATTATGATTAAAATGAAATTCCAACCTCTTTTGTTGATAATGAGTTTGTTTAAACTTTACAAACGTCACTGGTTAGGTATAAACGTCATAACTTATTATTCTCATGTGACAAAATTGATTGATGTTTCAGCATCGTATTGCATTAATTCCATCTTATAATTCTTTGGTCCTAACAGCCTTATCAGTTAAGATGTGCTATAATATTTGAAATACTTGAATTCGGGCAAATATTTGTTTAGGCTTCATTTGTGTCGGACAAAAGAAGAAGTTTAAGTGCTCCTGGTAATCATCCACTTGGTGAGCCCATTCCTGCAGTGACGATATAGCACCTCTTAAGGTAAGGACTATGAAACTCCTCATTTTAGTATACCTCTCGGACTCCACTATCTACAGCACGATACGAGTGTTTGCTAGTTACTCTAGTGTTCTCTTTACGAATTAGATATTTAAAGGGGAGTGAGTAATCTATCGAATGCAAAGATATTGAAATATGCATCAGCGGTTGGACAAACAGCTTTAAGACATACAGCTCAGTAACTTGATCTACTATTGCTAAGACTTTCCACGCTTTTGTACTTCCTTAAATGCCTGGCGTACCGTGATTTTTAAGATCTTGTAAGATTCTTTGGTAGTCAGGCTAAATATTCTTTTGTATTTTAAACATGGATAAAGATCTATCTTGATTACTCAATTTTACTGGTCTTGTACACACGCCCCAGAAATTCATAACAACTTCGACGGCTAGCCTTGTTCCTCTCAACACAAGACCAACACAACAGTGGTCGACAAAATTACGTTGCAAAAGAAAGTAAATCGATATCTCATGTCACCTGATTGGATCGTRCAACATCGATAACAATAAGTAGTGCATGTACTCCGACTAAGACGTTCCCTGTGTCAGATAACAATTCCTAAAGTCATATACAATTTCTTTCATCTAAACTTTTTGCATGAAAACCGAAACATGCCTCACGGAGGAATTGGCTATAACCCGCAAAAAATGACAATGGCCACTTACAAGTCCTTTCAGCTTCATACGTCAAAATATTTTGCTTGGCCAAATATGGGAATCTGACTGATATTATCAATTCGTTATTTCCAGTTGACCTTTCATTATTAGACTTTCTACATATGAACGAGAATCATTTCGTTTAATTTCAGACAGTACATTATATCATAATGTTTAAAGCCATCGGGGTTCTGGTGTTGGGTAAGTATAAACTAATTTAATTCTTCCGTATTTTGGTATTGTTTAGTATTTATTACATATATATGTGGAACTGTATATTTCAGCTACTTGTCTGTTTGCAGCTTTTGTTGTACAATCCGAACATTTGTCAATGTAAGTACCGCATATAAGTTGTCTTTATTAAGACTCATATTTATTTAAGATTATGGTTTGTGAGGTGACAACATTTCGTTAACCAATACCGCGAGCTTGATGAAAGTGAATTCAAATATAACCTTAGCGGTATGGGTTATCCCAGGTCCACTAGTTAGCATCACAGGAATGATTTATATATTACGTCATCATAATGTTTTACTTTGGTTAATAGGGTCAGGAGAAGCACAGCAATTGTGAGTGACATTTATACTTTGGACCACTTCATTGAACTTGTCGAGAAGATCGAAAGAAATGAAACAAACATCTTACGAGTAGCCAGCTACATTCGCCTGCTCGGTTTTGACGATGACTACTGGACCAAAGTTCTTGGTAAGTTGATGGACAGTTTGAAATCCTCCCCGCTACCCACGTCTCTTCTGCATGCTCCAAACATTTTTCTTCTCATAGAATGCCTTCGGATCAGAGCTGGGATTTCCTTAATGCTTTGTTGTTTGCAGGTACAGCGTTGCCTCAGTTACCAGTCGGTATTCTAACCAATGAGGAAAAGGGGATTTTAAAGGACATGGTTGCACACAGGTATGTAGGATCAAGTGAGGTGGGCGTGGTCCGTCTACCTACAGGGGAAACCATAGCAATAGGACACGTGATTAATGGGATCTGCGCTGGTCTTAACCGGTACACTGAGTTGTCCTTAGAGTCATGGGCTCAAGGAGCTACTAGAAAGGTAGATAACCTCTATGCTGCTACGCTGGCTAAACAACTAGCAGAAACGGCCTTAGCCAAAAAGAACAATCCYCCTAATTCGTTCTTTGGTCCTGGTGGATCATGGAATAACGATGAGTGCCCTGCTACTTACACACGTTCCAGTGGTATCAACTCTAAAGCAAGCGATGCACAATTACTTGGCGATGTGGATGGGCTGCTGCTAGGGTATAACGTCCCTCAATGGGCCAGAAAAGGGGTACGTCTAGGACAGTTGTTGAGAATGTATTATTCTACTGGCGTTTGCTACGATGAGTCGTTTGTCAGCTGCAAACGCATCGTSAAGTACAAAAGTTTAATAGATGACGATGAAGGATTATATGGACAAGTCCTAGGCGTGGCTGAGGCGTTGTATCTCAAGAACAAAGGAAGGTACCCTAATGTCAAGAAAGAGGATATTTCACAGATATCTAAAGAAGTGGTAATCAAGATAGCTGACTATCTAGGTACGCCACATTTATGTCCACAGCTTATTTTCCTTTTGACATCTCAATAATTTCTTGGATTCTAGAAAATATCCAAGGCAATAGGAGATGCACTAAAAAGGAGGAAGGTAAGATCGACATCATAACGCATTATAACTGTCATGCCTTTGCCTAACGTGATTAGTTTTACCCTTTGTTATCCAGGGTGCGAACTGCCTGCCAATCTGGTCTTTGTCATGGATGAGTCCACCAGCATAAAGCCTGCTGCGTTTGAACAGCAAAAAGAGTTTGTAAGGTATTATTTTCAAGTATTATTACGTGTTTAATAATTAACTTTAAAATAAATACTGTGTAACCATTTTTTGATAGACAAATAATTGACGCCTTTAACATCTCTCCCCGTCAAACTAATGTTGCAATTGTGGAGTTTTCAACCAAAGCAGCTGTCGACATCGGACTTCAAGATTATGGCTCTAAAACGAGATTGAAATGTGCAATACCCAAGCTGAAGCAGTATGGTAGGTTAGCCGGCTTATGCGGGGAYCTGTCTTGTTTGCGGTTATAGTTCATAATTGAGTTTACCAATACAATCCTGGTGCACTGAACGATTTGCATTTTTTTCTGCTCAGGTGGCTGGACTCATACTGCCAAGGCTTTAAACCTTGTCAAGAACGATATCTTCTTACCAGCACAAAGTCGTTATGGCGGCGATGAAGAGGCTGACGTGTCCAATATCATGATACTGTTGACCGACGGTGAATCGAATGACAAAGACAGGACGGCCTTACCACGTGTTGTAAAGGAACTCAAACGAGACATCAAAGGTATTTTTCTKGACATGGTAGTTTTTAAAAGTCTTACCTTTTCCAACATTTACTAATTGTTACTGGTGTTGCAGATTTGACCATGATTTCTATTGGAGTTGGGAACAATATTAACAAAGAMGAACTTGAAATGATTGCTACTGATTCTTCAAAGCACGTCTTTACAGCAGACGATTTTACTGCTCTTTTACTTCTTGTGAAGAAATTGCAGCAGAGAACATGCACAAGTAAGCGTGGATTTCACTAGCGCATAAGCATAGGCATAATCAGGAAGCACGAGAGTCATATGCGCCAGTGAGAACGGGCTCAAAATAAGCATAAGCGTGAGCACAAGAAAAACGAGCAAGTCTTGATCTTCTTGTGCTTATCTCATGCTTATGCTCAGTGAGAACGGGACTGCACAGGCATAAGCATAGCCTGGTACCGAAATAATAGGCTCGTGCGCATGCTCAATGTCTTATGCTTATGTCGAGCCCGTTCTCACTGGCGCATATGATTCTCATGCTTGTGCTTATGCTATGCTTATGCGCTAGTGAAATCGACGCTGTAAGAACATTAGCCATTGCTTATTRTTGACAGTACTGTCTTTCATTGTATGAACGGTTTAACGTACGTTTGTCTTGTTTTACGCTAGCCCCCGTACAAATGAACATAGATTTTACACAGAATGAGAACAATACCGTGGTAACGGCCTACGTGTTTCCAGATAGCGTTCGATACTTTGCTCTGGCTCCAGAGTATTTTTATGGTGTGCGGAACATGGCTATAGCGGTATGTAAATAGGCCGATTGCTGATTTCCTGGTTTTAACACTAACAATACAACAAGAAATAATACTTTGCCTTACAGATACAACCARTCTTTGGTTCTTTAAGTATTTATATGTCACGTGTACATGACACACCTGGACCTAAAAATCACACTTACAAACTTGATCCTATTCGTAAGTACTGGTATCAGTATTATAACTTACAATATCACTAATATAAAAATTAGGTAACACCTAATAGCGGAGCTCCAATAGCAATATAGAAGCTGAAAACGATTATCTAGTACTGCTATTTCAATAGAGGCTCTGTTCTAAGGAATGTGAGTTACAACAGTTTTGTTGACATGCGAACAAATATTATATAGAGTAAGTTATGTTTAGTTCGTACTAATATTGACTTCGGTAGATTTTGTTCCGTTGGATGAAGTTTAATATTATAATCTGTAAAGGTAAATTGATTTAAAGTAAACTGAAAGCTTCTCGGCAAAAAGTAGTCTACATAAGTTTACAATAATCAACAATGTTTCAATAATCGATGTTTGAACCCGGACTACTCGAAGTTCACTTATCACAGAAAACTGTATACAAAAATTTTTTTCTTACCTTCATTATCGAACTTCCGATAAATTATCGTTCAAAGGTCATCTTCAACAGAGCCATACTTGTTTCAAGCATATGTTTCATCAGTTTATTAAGTCATTCAAGACTGTAGATTCTTTGTTTTTAATYTCTCTCCATCTAACTGCTAGAAWGCTCTTGGTTTCCAAATGTCCACACTTTTAGTCGRCAAAAGAACTTCACATAGATCCCTGYTTTTTCCCATATTGGTCCATATTATTGAAGTATTTCCAATAAAGTATCATCTCTTTCTTGTTGTCGAAATATCAAAGTAATACCCTTTTTTCTAATATCACTTTTAARATGGGCCTAAATTGCTTTTCATCTTCGCAAATCGATTTCCCGGATGTGCGGACGCGTCGAAGYTAKVAMAAAAWTGGCGGGAATATTTCTGTGCTGTTATTTCGCTCTTCTGTGGATTTTTTCCTTGTGATTAATTGTTCTTGTATTATCAATATGTAATATAAATATTTAAGGAAAAATTTCTATTTTTCAACAAATATTTGGCGCTTTGTTTCCTTTTCGAGCGAAGTATGGGTTTCCTGTGGTGGTACACGCACTCCAGGAAGGAARGACGGAAGGAAACGTGCGTACGCGCGGGWACCCTGTGTCGGTCCATGKAAAATCGACTCGATGGTATACCATTTTTTCTTAGCTATGGTACTCCGCTCGCGCGGGAGCTCCGCTATCAACAATATGGTTTTCACTTTCACTTGTATTAGCTGGAATTTAATTGTCACATATTTCAGGATTACGCATTATTGTTGATGGTAACGCTTTTTCTTCTGTTTCAGCGGTCGGTCAATCAATGAACCTTTTTATTGCTGATCCTTGTTTAAGTAAGTCAAAATACCTGCAGCGGTAATATGCGTTTAGTCGATCGGCTGCGTTCGGTCATGTCTCACCACAATATCCTCGATCATGTACCCTGTGCCTCTCTCTTTAAGTAACTGTGATTTTTTTGCTATCACTAGACTACAACAGTACTACCTGTCCACCTGTCTACCTTGCCATCTACGCCGATAACCCAAACTGCGCATGCACAGGTAATTAATCTTTATACCATTTTTTTCAATTTGGTCTTGATATCTTATTTATTCTTTGTCAGAACCCCAATGTGTCGTCCCTGGTCAAATTAAATTCACCATCCAAAAGGGTAAGCGTCGGTTCACTTGTCATTTTGCTCWCAGTCATTCACATGATTAATTAGATATTATATCCTTGAGTGTAAGTTGTCTGAAGTAACGGGGTTTTGTTTTGTTTTAGGTCATGGAGGGGCTGGCATTATTCAAGGATCCGTTCTCCTGCTTTTCTTYGCTATTACTCTATATTCATTTCTTTTAGCGTAAATCGGAACTTGTATATAAACCTTTGTGCTGCTATCGTTGAAATTTTGTCATGCAATCTTTTATCAATGACATTTGATAATGCAGGATAATTAATAGTGTAGTGTAATGAATATTGAGATTTATCTTATTCGTACTGATTTTCGCAAATAATTTATGGGAATGATTTGACAAATCTGGTTCGCGGCGTCCGCTTACGTGACATGCGCGTGTTTCTAGAGATGCACGAATTGAGCAGCGCTACGCGTACATGCGTTGCGTGAAGTGTACATGTTGCGTAATGTGTTGGTGTTTGTACGTTGCGTGTACATTGCGTGAAGTGTGCTTGTTGCGTAAAGTATGTACGGTGAATGACATATTTCGGCATAATTACATTATTTAATCAGGTAGCATTTATAACTGACTGAGCAAAATGCAAAGTTGATTAAATATATCCTTATACTAGTCGTCTATTAGTATTACATATTATCCAGTAAGAAGATCAGCACAAGAAATGACAGTCTGCCTAATAAATTACAAAGAAATTCACCGCAACAGTATAAGCCACACATGTCAGCACATGCGAAGCGGTATTCATGAYTGATTCTATATATGCTCTACGGGTTCATGTCCTATTTGATTCCTTTTTTTAAAATAAGTATCTATTAGCTAGAGGAGCACAGTATCATCAAACCTTGCTATCATCACCGGCATTTAGGACAGTATCACTGAACAGTGATGACATGGAAGATGTTTCTTCTTTCATTGACTCTTTAAATGTTTGTTCTTTGCAATCATCAAGTAAAATATTTTCTTCTTGTATTGGTGAATAATTGCTTCGTTTTAGTCTCTCATTGCTTGCACAAGTAATGATTTCCACTGTATTTTCAGGCATGTTGATAACAGCCTGACTGTCRTTCATTGTTTGCATCTGGCAAGATTGATTATCTGTAGGAGTAACAGTGATTCGTGGTACTCTGTTTAGTTTTTTTCTTCTTCCTGTTGCCCCCGATGAAAGCTTCAAGCAGTAATTCAAGCAACAATAGTATAGGCATCCGACGACCGTCACGCTACCGCCAACACTGAGGAAAATATCACCAATAATCGCACAGTCGATGCACAAGTCATTGGAGAAGTTAAGAGAGGTATCGCGCTTACAAGGACAGCCAATAACGACAAGTAAAAAGCCTGGAACGATCGTTAGAACCACAAGAAACATCCATAGACAACAGCAATTCACCGAACACGTTACATCATTCAGAGAATCTGAACTTGAATAGTATCTTGGCATTGTGTACTACAGTCATGTTTTCTACAAAGAAACGATGTTCACAAATGAAAAAAATCTTGATTAAATGCGACACGATTCTCGGAGCATCATGCGATAGTTATCTTAAAACCCGACCAAGTGGCGTCACAACTGCCCCCAGACGCATGCGATGTATTCTATTTTTCATTCTGGTGGAACAACATTTCCTTTCTAATGGCACAGTTGTTTGTTCGTTTAGACATAAGGAAATTAGCTGCGAATCCGTTGATGTTAATTACCCTTCCAAAAACGCTTAGAACGCTGTTAAAAAGCATTTCATCTTTCATCAAGTAAAAAATAGAAACAGATCGCTTACATAATGATAATGTTCATAAAAAATGTCTGAGGTCACAACGGCTGTCGAGAAAACCAAAGGAAATCAAGCCTATTGAATTAAATACCTCATTTAACTTATTCTGAACCATTCAAAATACCGGAAACTTGCAAGACAGATAAAAAGCAAGCCTTTAGAAAATTGTGTGTCAAAAATAGGACTATTGGAAATGTGAGGTTTAATTAATTTTCACTTGTCAGCCACTTTATTCCTGTCTTTTTGTAACTGTCATATTATTATTGGTATCAAGTCATAGCTTCAACTAAGGAGACAAGAGATTCTTACTGCTGATTGTTCACATACCATTTGAACTTGGAGTGTTTACTGAAAACATGGTTAATTTAAAACACTACCACATCGAACTCAACTAAAAAAWTTTCTGCGACTTGGGCAAAGTTTCAAACGATCAATCAACATCATTTAGCCTATTTGAATAGAATAAGAAGATATTTGTCTATGACTTCTGGATAAAAAAGTGTTTAGAGTGGTTTTCATAAACCCGTGAAACAAAGTATAAAAATTAGAGTGTAATAGATCGTAATATTCGCGTAGAGACAATAAAAAACAAAAGAGCCAAAGTGTAATAGCGATAAATACTCTAAAGTGTGTTTCACGGGATAATGAAAACCACTCTAAATCGCCGCAGAACAAAATGCAATGACGGACTGCAATGAGGTCATGGTTAAGGCATGTGCACTAGACTAATATTTGGAAATTCGTATAGGTGATTTGTTACTGAATATTGATCGCTTTATTGATACTGATACTTATTGATATTGACACTTTTTGTTTACTATGTTGAACTGAAATCGCCACCCTTTTTTCCTGGTATTGGTTGTTTCTTCACGTTGATGAGCTGAGTTGTTCGCATCTTTTTTSCWTTCCTGGAATGGGATATTACTTCTTGCCTACTTTGATGTATTTGGCTGTTCAGTAGCTCCTTCTGATTTTGCTGGACTGGGTTATCTGCCTGTTGGTCACTTTGCTGGACAGGGTTATCTGCCTGTTGGTCACTTTGCTG